AGTAATCCACACAGGAGGACCTCTGCACAGTTTCCTAGGATTCTATAACCCATTTAAGAACTGATGAGTACACAAAAAAAGATAAAAATCATGAAATTAGATTACATACAACTTTTTAACTTTCATCAACAAAATTCAAGTAAAGCAAGTAAGTTCAATGTAGACAAATGTAAAAAGGCCCTACACTGAGCACGAAGACTAATAGCTGACCTTGAAGAACTTGGAGCCTGTGGTACTTTACAAGTGATTACTAACTAAATACACCCACGGCATGGCAGACACCAAGAGAGGCCCACAACATAAGCATGTCCAGCCTTTAACATCCCCACATTCTCTACACGGTCCACCTTTGAGGACCACACAACCAAGTAATGAAACAAAATACTACCAATAATAATAACAAATCCCCAAAACAACCTCATAATGTTTTACTAAGGTTAGTTTTATGTTGGGCTACACTCATAACTACCCTGAACCACAGGTTGAACAAACCTGGTCTTTGAAAATTAAAAAAAGAGGGCAGGCAGAACAGCTTGGTGATACAGCTCTTTGGGGTAGAGTGATTGATAACTACACACAAAGCCCAGGGTTCAATCCCAGGACCACATAACCCAGGCATAGTAGTGGAGTACACTGTATGCCCAGTCAGTACATAAGAGGCAGAGAACATCAAGAAGTTCAAGTTCATTCCTGGTTATGTAGGGAGTATAACACCAGTCTGAACTACAAGTGAAAAAAACATTATCTCCAGCCAGTGAGACGGCTCAGCAGGTTAAGACACTCACTGCCAAAGCTGACAACCTGAGTTCAATCCTCAGAACCCACACAGTAGAAGGAAGGAGAGAACCAAATAGTCAGCTGTCTTATGACCTCCATGGCACGCACGCACGCACGCACACACACGCACGCACACACACACACACACACACACACACACACACGCTGGGCAAAACACTCATACACATGAAAACCAAACAGTACAAAAAGCAAACCAATTTTGTCATCATTTGACTTTTCTTCACTATCATGTATGTCCCTCTTGAAGTTCTCCAGGAATTCATGTATGCTGACTACATTCCACCGGATCCTACGCACACACACACCTTGGGGGCCAGAAACGGGCATAAGACTCCCTGGCATTGAAGTTACAGGGAGCTGTGGACCTCTATGTGACTGGTCTTCTAGAGATTCTTAACCAGCAAGCCAATTCTCCAGCCCCTAAACTGTTAGTTACTGATTACCACAGTTTAAAACTCCTTCTGGGCAAGCCCTGGTAATGCCCACCTTTAAGCCCAGCACTCAGGAAGGAGTTTGAGGCAAGCCTGACCTACATAGGGAGCACTAGGACATCCAGAAATACATATAGAGACCCTGTCTCAAAACAAAAAATCCTTCTATAAGCTTGTCAATATATTGAGTACAATAAAAAATTAAGAAACTTAAAAATAAATTAATTCAAATAACTAAGGTTATTTATTAACTGAAAAAAGCAGGGCGTCTGTGCAACAATAGCTCACGGCTTAACATATAGCTAACTAGATTCCCTGTTGGAGAAGAGGTGATGATGTAAAAGAAACATTTAAAAAGAGAATGGCAGCCAAGTTTTGGTGGCGCACGCCTTTAATCCCAGCACTCAGGAGGCAGAGGCAGGCGGATCTCTGTAAGTTCGAGGCCATCCTGATCTACAGAGCGAGTTCCAAAACAATACAGAGAAACCCTGTCTCGAAAAATCAAAGAGAGAGAGAGAGAGAGAGAGAGAGAGAGAGAGAGAGAGAGAGAGAGAGAGAGAGAGAGGGAGAGAGGGAGAGAGAGAGAATGGCTAGACTAATGATTACACACAGGACACAAACACTGAAGTCACAATAGCTATACATATGCAAGCTACTGTATGTCAATTAAACGAAGACACATTTTAAAGCAATGTAATGGCATGGATTTCTAAACATCAATAAAATGCTAGGCAGGGGGGCACACCCACCCACCTGAAATCTCAACATTGGGAAGGCAGAGGCAAACTGGAGGCTAGCCTGGACCACAGAGTGAGTTCCAGGCCAGCCAGGGCTACATAGCAAGAGGTTGTCTCAGACAATGAAATGACTGTGAAGAGACATCTTCACAGGACTGCAAGAAAGCAAATCCACCTGGCCAACATTCGTCGAAAGCAGACCAAGCAGAGGAGGGATCTCAGAAACGACTTCTCCAGACACTCCTCTCCGCCTCCAGACACAGCCTGCACCCTGAACCACGCTGCTAGCACACTCCCCAGGAGCTCTGTGTTCCTCTTTCTTCTTCTCTGCCCTACAATGCAAACCGCCCAGGATGGAATCGTGGCTGATCAACCTCTGCACTAGTGCCTACATTTGTTACTAACTACAGTAATAGGGTTTTATTTTTTTTCTCTCTCCTTTTTTATTTTTGTCTTGCATCCACAAATGTCCATTTCAGAAAGAGAGCAAGTAACTAGGATTAAATTTACAAAGTCAAATCGCAGCACACGCCATTGTGTTGCTCTGCTTTTTTTCTTTTTTTTTTCTTTTTTTTTTTAATTTTATTTTCCAGTTTAAATTTGGATAAGAAACAAGGTTGCTTCACAAGTCAGTTCCAGGTCCCTCTCCCATTCCCTCCCTTCCTCCCGAGCACTCCCCCCCCCGTTATCCCCTCATTTCCCCAGGGAGGGTGAGGCCCTCCATGGGGGTGTGCATAGTCTGTCATTTCATATAGGGCAGGGCCTAGACCCTTCCCCAAGAGTTCGGGTGAGAATGCACCTCACATTGTTCTACGGGAGTCCAAAGTCCGTGTGTATACTTGGGATGGGTACTGATCTGCTGCCCAAGGCTCAATAGATTCCCTAGGCCTCCTCACTGACACCCAGATTCAGGGGGTCTTGGCCAGCATGGGACTGATCAAGTAATAGGGTTTTAATTAATATATGAGGAATGACTGCCGGAGAGCTGAGAGGGAAGCCGAAGGCAGAGGAATAGACTAGAGCCCAGAAGTTAGTTAACAGGAAACCTAGAAACTGAAGATGAAATTTTAAAAACCCTCCTAAGGTACTACTCAGCAGAAAAAAAAGATGGAATCTTGAAATTCGCAGGTAAATGGATGGAACTAGAAGAAAGCATCCTGAGTGAGGTAACCCAGTCACAAAAAGACAAACATGGTACTCACTCATATATGGATTTTAGACATGGAACAAAGGATTACCAGCCTACAATCCACACTGCCAGAAAAGCTAGGAAACAAGGAGGACCCTAAGAGAGACATACATAGTCCCCCAGAATAGGGGAAAGGGACAAGATCTCCTGAGCAAACTGGGAGCATGAGAGGAGGGGAGAGGGAGCTAGGAGAGAGAGAAGGGGAGAAGAGGAGGGGAGAGGAGGACATGAGGGAGCAGGAAGATTGAGTCAGGAGAAAAAACAGGAGAGCAAGAAAAGAGATACCATAATAGAGGGAGCCATTATAGGTTTAAAAGAAATCTGGCACTAGGAAAAGGTCTAGAAATCTACAAGAATGACCCCAACTAAGAATCTAAGCAATAGTGGAGAAGCTACTTAAAATGCCCTTCCCCTATAATGAGATTGATGACTACCTTAAATGCCATCATAGAGCCTTCATCCAGTAGCTGATGGAAGCAGAAGCAGACACCACAGCTAAACATGAGCCGAACTCCTGGAATCCAGTTGCACAGAGGGAGGAGTGATAAGCAAAGGGGTCAAGACAAGGCTGGGGAAGCCCGCAGAAACAGCTGATCTGAATAAGGGGGAGCTCATGTACGCCAGACTGATAGCTGCGAAACCAGCATAGGACCAACCCAGACCCCCTGAATGTGGGTGTCGGTAGGAGGACTGGGCAGTCTCTGGGGCCTCTAGAAGTGGATCAGTATTTATCCCTAGTTACAAATGGACTTTGGGAGCTCACTCCACATAGAGGGATACTCTCTCAGCCTAGACACATGGGGGAGGGCCTAGGCCCTCCTCCAAATGATGTGACAGACTTTGAAGATTCCCCCATGGAAGGCCTTACCCCCCCCCCCCGGGGAGCAGAAAGCGGGGGCAGGGGAGGAGGGGAGGGAGAGGGAACTGGGATTGACATGTAAAACAAGATTGTTTCTAATTTAAATTTTAAAAATCATAAAAAAAAACCCTCCTAAGATAATGCAGTTGGCCTGAAGGTAGTGGTCAGAGCATCAGTAGCACACACATGCACATATAAAATGTCAGAACAGTTGAAGTCACTAGTTCCTATTATTTCTATTTATTCAGACAAAGCATTTGAATAGGAAAAATAAACTCAGAAGAAAAGCTTTACGCTAATGACCTGGGATATATATTATAATTCAGAAAACTTCAAAGGTGAAGACAGAGAAATTAAAGCTATGAGGGAGACTGCAGATGAAAGGGGGTTCTGGTCAAACTTCTGTGCATAAAAAAGAAGTTGAAATACCATCACCCGGCTAGAACAGAATGGGGATGATGCCACCTCATCCTGCACAGTAGAAGAGGCCAGCATAGGTGGGCTCACATGAAAAACAGGTGAACACTAGCATGCCAGGTCCCACCACCCACACAGAAGCTCAATTCTCTCCAGCTAAAATGAACTATGGCACAGTGGAGTGAATGAAGAGGTAATGGCACTTCAGAGGAAAGAAAAATTATTTCTAAAACCAGAGCAAAATCCAAGGGAACCACGTATCTGTTATGGGGCCCTCATGTCTCATGCTTCCGTAAGCACAAGAGCCAGAAAGAGGTAGTAAGTTCAGGAAGCCTCCCTCCACAGGACCCGTCTCTAAAATCCAGTCGTAAGGGCACCACCAAGTTGAAGCAGGTGTGTACAAGTTATTACGGGGTATTCCGTGCACTGTGTATGCCCCACAATGCTAAAATAGTAGCATGCAGGAAGTTCCTGGCTTTTATGATGAATCTGAAAGACACTCTACGCAAGCCGGTCATTTTTAGAGGCCAGGTTATGGGGCAGTTTTCTTCTCGATTGCTTTCTCTCACCCGTTCCTGGAGAAGCTCCACAACTTGCTGGACACAGTCGTTGACGTCACAGGAGTCCGTTTTCAGCACCAGCTCCGGGGCCTCTGGTTTTTCATACTCAGAATCGATTCCAGTAAAGCCTTTAAAGGACAGCACACAGCAGAGGCGGCAGATATGTAAAGGGTTATTTCATCTGCACCAGTCTGCACCGAAGCTAGGCTCTCACTGCCCTGTCACGCCGCCATGGGCATCACGTACTGACGCCTTTCTTGGGAGACCTCTTCCTTACACATACAGTCAGTTCTCACTATCCACTGCAGCTGTGTCCAATGAAGTTGTCACAAATACTAATGAAGTAAACACTGAATCATGTCTCCTGGGTGAAATCCAAAGTCAAGCTCCTGCCAGTCTCAGGTGTCATGCGCATTTCTGTCTGAAGGCAACTTATCGAGCATATTGACTGGTTTACACTGACCTCAGAGCCGCAGCACAGCTCAGCTAGAATGAAACTAATGCACGCCTCCCCTGAGGCCTCCCAGCGTCCTTGCAATCAGATATACAGGGCCAGGAGTAAAGGAACTTGCCACCAAGTCTAACAACCTGAGTTCAAAGCCTAGAACCCATGTGGTGGAAAGAGACAGTCAACTCTTACAGCTGTCCTCTGGCCTACTCACACACAACTGATGATAAGTGAAATAAAAACACAGTAGTGCTACACAGCATTTTCAATACTGGTGGTCATTTTAAATATCACTCAAAAAAAAAAAGCATGGAAATGAGAAATAACTAATCTGCTCTCCTGCCCACTGTATCCATTACTCCAAGCAGGCAGCCTATTCTCTCTGAGTCAGGAAGCTGTCATCTCAATGGATGTGAGGTATGACAGGCAGTGGCCTCATCAGTGAACTGAGCCCTAAGACAGGGGGACCTGGCATCAGCTTTGCTCACAAGACAAGACGTCACCAGGGCAGGCAGAATTCTCCTCAGCTGCTTATTCTTGGGCCCAAAAACAGAGGAAAAATGGGTAACAAATATTTTCCTTTCCAATTTCCTTTTACCTTCCGGAGCCAAAAACTGGATACCCAATCTAGAATTCAGAGCTCCTACAATGGTCCCAGGCTATCCATCGTACCTTGTTAGGGAGGCAAGCAAGTTACTTGCATGACTCATCCCTAAAGAATATTCACAGAATAAACTACCTTCGACGTTTTATTAATACAGTATGTACTGTTTCCAGGATTGCCAACAGAATGAACACAACTAGTATCAAATGTGACAAATGTGTAGCACACTGAACTGTGAGCAGCCCATGAGCCCTGAGCAAGGTATGCATGTTTTCATGGAACCGGACATGTTAGTTCAAACTCGACATTAGAGAGGTTCACTAAAGAGCCATGTCAAGTGCTACGACATAAAAATGGGACACTCTCCTTCCATCAAGGCTCTTATGCATCAAGTATTTTTCCCAATAGCTGGGGGACATCCTACCCTTTCACGTCCCAACAAAGACTAGAGGTAGTGATGGCTGGCAACCTACTTCTAGACATCTAATTACGTGAAGTGGGTTTCAGCACCACCTCTCAAAGCCCCAGCTGTCCTGTGAGGAGAATTCCAACACAGCCAGCAAAGCTCACAGGGGCACAGTCCCAAGCACTGTTGCTGAAGCTGAGCGTGGGAACAGTATAAGAACCACTTACCCCTCAACCAGCCCCGTCACTACTCACTCCCAATTTCTTAGACAAGAGCATCAGTCCTGGAGGCTGGAGACATGGACCACTGATTAAGAGCACATAATGATCTGACAAAGGACCAGAGTTCGGTTCCTAGCACCTATGTCAGGCGGCCTTAGACTACCTGGAACTCTAGCTGCAGAAGATTCAATGCTTCTAGCCTGCACAGGCACCTGTACTGACAGGACACACACACAGACATAAATACAATTTAATTAAAAAAAAAAAGGGACCATCAGACCCACACACAAAAGCATGAAATATCTGGATAAAGAGAAATCTGAAGAAAATGTTTCTTGCCTTTTATTTCTCCTGCCCGTGCTTTCTTGTAGAGACCCTTGACATCCCTCTGTTCACAAACATGCAGAGGAGCATCAACAAAAACTTCAAAGAAAGGTAAGCTTGCACCCTCGTGAATCTGCCTGGCATTGTTGCGATCCTTCAGGAAAAAAGGGAAAAAATGTTCAAAATCAGTAAGTGATCAATAAAAAGTGAACAATAAAAAGCCAGATGTACCAACATAAAAGATAAATGAAGAAGACTTGGTACCTGAATTTGTTTATATATGTATATACGTGTACTTGCGCGTGTGTGTGTGTGTGTGTGTGTGTGTGAGAGAGAGAGAGAGAGAGAGAGAGAGAGAGAGAGAGAGAGAGAGAGAAGCTTGAAACCATTCAGCCAATGGCTATACTTCTGGATGTTTTAATAATAGGTTTTACACACACTGTATTTATTCAGAAAAAAAATCACAGAATATAATTTAAGTTATTTGGTCTCCAGGGAAATAATAAGGTTGGATTTAGCCTCAAAATACAGGCCAATATTTAACTGCATGCATGGCCTAATGCCACACTTTCAATACGCAATCTGCACCTAATACCAGCACAAAAGCTGCACACCTGCGTGTAAGGGGAGATAAAGTTGCACACCTGCGTGTAAGGGGAGATAAAGCTTGTGATGCACACTAAGCCGGCATCGGCAAACAGCTTCGCCACCTCCGCAATGCGTCGAACATTCTCTTCTCTGTCCTCAGGACTGAAGCCGAGGTTTTTATTGAGACCCTGACGGATGTTGTCACCATCCAAAGTGTAGCATGGAATGCCATGGCAGACCAGGTATTCCTCCAGTGCCATGCTCACGGTCGTCTTCCCGGCCCCAGACAGTCCTAGAGGGAAAGTCCAAACAAATCCCACCTGCGATGTTAGAACCAGGAGTCTAATGACAAAATCAATTATATCCGTTACTCACAGCATCGGGGTCTCAGAAGCACTCTTGCCCACTGTTTCTTTAAAAGTGGCCTTTTACCTACTCAAAACATCTGTAAGCATCTAGAGTTTACATTTTGGGGGAACATGGGGGTGTTCTTCTTAAGCATTTATCTTTGATAACTTAAATAACCCAGAAATCACCAATCACCAGTAAGATCCAAAAATTACTAACCAGTTTTAGTGTCATGGTTGGGTAGGTATGTTTACTTTGTCACTGGTGACACTATTGAAAGACACATGCCCCATTTTGTGTGTGTGTGTGTGTGTGTGTGTGTTTGTCTTTATTGTCCTGGAACTTGCTCTGTAGACCAGGCTGGCCTCGAACTCACAGAGATCCGCCTGCCTCTGCTTCCCGAGTGCTGGGATTAAAGGTGTGCGCCACCAATGCCTGGCTCTCACATGCCCCATTTTTATAATCAAATGCCACACTGTATATAATAAGGGAAGAAAAAGGAAGGAGAAAAGTCAATGTGGCACCACGAAGTTACCTCCACATTCCAGGATCATGCTGCTCATGGACCATGATAGAACTATCTAGAAGTCAATTCACAATATAATAAACCTAATAATCATAATTTCCATTCACTCTCCTTCCCAATCACTAAGTGACTAAGAGAAAGAAAGAAAACATTTATATTCAAACATTTCACCAACTTGAAGACTATAATTACAGATCAAAGCCAAGAGAATGATAAGGCAAAAAATGAATATGGAAGTCTAATACGCCAGTGATCTAGAACAAAATCATGGCAGTACACTGTCACTCAGAAGTGTAAGTGGCCTACATGGGAGCAAGAGTGGCTGCCAGGCTTGAATCCACTGGCTTTAGCTGATGTGTTACAACAGTTAGGAACTAATATGCCAACACTTCCAAGAAAGTATCAAAGTACAACCTGGTCAATGAAATGTCTCTAGAAAAAGTAAGCTAAAGGGTTTCATGTTACGGGCATATCCTAGAGAAGCTACTAAACTTCAGGAAAGTAATCTCTTAAATGGTGGTTCTGTTTCTGATGGTTATGCAGCATTTGTACATGGGGAGAGCTGGTGACACCCTGGTATGGGGATGAACAGCCGTCTGCCAGCCATTGTAGATTGGTTTCTAAGCAGTGGTTTATGGAATTTGGGGAGGAGGGGCTCCCCCCATCTGCCACAATGTTACCACAGTGTTTGAGGAAGAAGCCAGAAGAAATCTTCATGGAATGTGGACTTCAGTTTCCTAGGAAAACCAAGCCCCCTGTACCTCATGGGAATATGGCAGTATTCCCACAGGACATAGCTTGCTTCTGGCATCCCTACGTCATGGTTCCTGCCATGGTCTTTTTGGTGGTTCCTTTGTGCACACTGGCACTTATGTACCCAAACCCCTGTTCTGCTTCAAGTCACCCACTAAGATCAGTCATTGTCTTGTTGTGGCTTGCTACACAGTCCAGGCTGATCCTGAACTCACTTTGTACCCAGGCTGCCTTCCAAGTAGAGGCAATCCCCACCTCAGCCTCCCAAGATCTGGGATTCCAGGCATGCATCACCACACCCACTCATTTCTCTTGACCATACCTGTCAGCCAAACTGTGCAGCCACGAAAGCCACCTCTGGTCCCCACCACCTGACCTCTCTTGTTCCTGCTAACATGGTGGGCTTGATAGGTGACATTAGTTGCTCTCTGCATCCCCTAGAAAAGGAGAAAATGAAAAAGAATTCTGGTTTACACAAGTCCTTTAAAATGTCAACACATATTCCTTGTAAACATGCTATCAGTATTCTGTATTGTTGAGAAATAATCTTTTTGTACACTGTGAAAATATGTCACTCGGATTGGTTTTTAAGAAAAAGCTGAATGGCCAATAGCTAGGCAGGATTTCCAGGCACAAAGGACACGGGAAGAAAGCAGAGACACCAGGAGATGCAGGACTATGGTGAGGAGATAATAAAGCCACAGGCAGAAAGTAAGTTAATAGAAATGGGTTAAGTTATAAGAGCTAGTTAAAAACAAGCCTAAGCTATCGGCCAAGCCTTTATAATTAATAATAAGTTTCCATATTACTGGGGAGCCAATGGTACCAATGAAAAAGTCTGATTACACTCACTGTATAAGACGTCAAAAGCAAGGAAAAGCTAAAACAACTTTCATTTTCTTTTACACACTTTTATGTTTAGCATTTAGCATTTACCAGCCAACTTAATCCTGTCAGTAACCCAACAACATGGGTACTCATACTACTGTAGTTTTATGAAAGACGTTAAACCTGAGAAAAGTTATTAAATAATTTGCCCAAGATCTCATAGCTAGGAGTAGAATCTGGAATATTCCAGCCCTCATTTTCTTTCACATACTTATTTAATCATTCATTCAACCAGTTATTACTGAGATCTATCTAGTATGTCAAATAAATAGTCTCCACCCTTGATAAGCTTATATTTAACTGGATAACCAAGCCACTAAGATTGGTTTATTACAGAACTGGGATACATCACATTGAAAAGAAAGGAGAGTAGGAGAGAAGGGAAGTGTGGGATGAGGGCTTCCTTCAGTAGAATGATAAAGAGAGTAGCTCTAAGGTGTGACACGTCTCATTCACCTGCATAGGAATAGTCAATTTTCCCAACAGCACCAACGGAAAACTGACTTTACTGGGTTATGTGCTCCGGGCACCCCTTTCAAAACTCGATAGGTGGTGTGTGGGTTTAATTCTAGACAGTATTCTGTCCCTGTGGTCTATATGTGTGCCTGGATCTGTCTCTACAGCCTTATAGTAGATTCTGAAGCCAAGCAGTGTGGTATCTCCTGGCAGGCTCTCCTCTGCTAAGACAGCTTGGGTTATCTGAGACTTTCTGAAGTCCTTTAGCAATTTCAAAGTGGTTGTTCTAGCTCTGTGAGAAAATGAGTTAGTGGAATATTTTTTATCATGACAATTTTTTTAGTAATTTCATGCATGCATGCAGTATATTCAGAGCATACCCATCCTCCCTATCTCCTCCAACTCTTCACAACTACCACCATCCATCTTCACGGGATCTTCATACATGTGTGTAGACAGCACTTGGTTCTCGAACCTCCCCAACTGCCCTCCCACCACACCCCTTCAGCAGGTCCCCTTCTATCCCCAGCTAACATTGCTTCTGCTTTGCTCTTGCCTGGAATCCTTACCCTCCCTTAAGATCTCCTCCTACTCTCCTATGATCCACATTCTAGTTTTGTAAACTATAAACACACACCATAAGCAAACAAATGTGCTTACAATTTTATTTTAAATTTAGGTGCAAGAGGAAACATGCAGTATTTGAGACTGTCTTACTTTACTTAATGATTCAGTTCCTGCAAATTTAAGAGTGGCATTTTTCTTTATGACTGCATAAAATCCCATTGCTTATATGAACAACACTTTATTATTGATGAACACCTAGGCTGGTTCCACTTCCTGGCTATTTCGAAGAGTACAGCTATGCATACAATGTCCAATACCTATGTGTTATCCTGACTCATCAAGAGTGGTGCGGTATTGTGTGATATAGAAGTGTGTCTGGTGATGAGAAGGCAGAGCTAGCCAGTAGTTAACCACAGAAGCTGGGTGGTGGTAGCTCTCAATTTTAATCCCAGCACTCTGGGGGAAGAGACAGGAAGTGATAAGGTGGGGTGGAGATAGGATCCCGACCTTTTTGGACAGAGGAATGAGACAGGTTCTCTGCTCTTCTAGGTTTTTACCCCACTATCTGACTCCTGACTATTTTATTGATTAAGATTAATTAGCTTAACACTTCAGTGTGTTGGCTACTTTTGTATCAATTGAATACAACCCAGTCATTTGAGAGGGGTTAACTCCAACTGAAAAAAATGCCTCCTCTTAATACCAGACTGTAGCCACATCTGTAGAGCACTTTCAATTAATTAGTAGTGGGGTAGGAGGTAGTGTCAGTCCATTGTGAGGGTTACCACGGTGAGTGGCTGGTGGTCTGGGGTTCTATAAGAAAGCAGGTTGAGCATCCCAGTAAGCAGCACTCCTCCATGCCTTCTGCATCAGCTCCTGCCTCCAAGATCCTGCCCCGTTTCAGTTCCTGCCCTGACTTCCTTCGATGATGACACAGATACCCTTTCCTCCCCAAGTTGCTTTTGGTCGTGGTGTTTCATCACAACAAACAGACACTCCAACTAAACAGTTAGTGGTACAGCAGTGCCACATGGTAGTTCTATCTTCGGAATGCTGAGGAACCTCCATACTGACTTCCACACACCATCACGTTCCCACTAGTGAGTAACGGCTCCTCTTCACGCAGTCCCTGCCACCGCTGCCCTCACTTCTTTCTCTTTTTGTTGTTTGGGGGTGGGGTCTACTTTGGGTCTTTTCCTTGAAACACTTACTATGAGCCCTGGTTGGCCTGAAACTCACTATATAGACCTGGTCAGTCTCAAATTCAGAGATTCCCCTGCCTCTGCCTCCCAGGTGCTAGGATTAACAGTGAACACCAGCAACCTGTCTGATGCACTGCAGGCAAAGACTGTTCAATAGGCTCTCTTCACCCCAGAGATGTTTCCTTTGCAATGCACAATCTTTATACATGCATTTATTTGTGTGTGGGAGTGCAAACATTTGACACTGGGCACATATGGAGGTCGGACGACTTTGGGGAAATTGGTTCTCTTCGCCCACTGTGTGGGTTCCAAGGATAAAACTCAGGACATCAAGCTGGGCATCAAGTTCCTTCAACCACTGAGCCCTCTTGACAGCCCACAGAATCCTATTAATATAACCCAGTTTGCCAATTCTTACGATCACTTCCTGTGCCACTGGAGTTCAGGAAACACTGGTTTATAATTTATCTTGAAATGTCTTGTCTAAGTTTCCTGAGCAGTTCCAAAGTTCCGGGTCTTCTATGAAGGTCTCTGATCCATTCTGAACTTGAACTTTCTGTGAGGTCAGAGAAGGGTCTAGTTTCCATTAGTTGTTCTCCTGTGAAAACAACTGCCAGAGGATATCTTGTTCTCTAATGTACAGTTTTCACTTTTGTGAAAAATTAGGTGCTGTGACTAGGTTTATCTCTGGGTCTCCAATTCTCTTCCACTGCTCTACAGATCTGTTTGTGTGTCAGTAGATATACTGTTACTCTGGCTCTGTAATATAATACAAGCTCAGGTGTTGTGACACTTCTGAGCACTACTCTGAGGACAACTTTAGCTGGTTCTGGGCCCTCTGCTTCCCTGTGAACTTTATAACTGTTTTCTCTAGTGAAGAATGTCGCTGAGATTCAACAAGGACTGTGTTAAATCTCTACCTTGCTCTCACTAATACAGCCATCTTCACAGTACTATTCCTGTCTATCCATGAACAAGGGGAGCATTTCCATCCTCTAATGTCTTCTTCAATTTCTTTCTAGAGTTTCACTGCTGAGAACTTTCACCACTCAGGTTTACTCCCACAGGTGCTTTTTTTGGGAATGCTACTGTGAATGCGGATTCCCCCACCCCACCCGCCAACTCTCCAATTTCTCAGTGAGTTCTTTCTTTACTTCTTCGAGACAGGGGTTTCTCTGTGTAGCTCTGGCTCTCCTGGAACTCACTCTGTAGACAGGGTGGCCTTGAACCTAGAGATCCACCTGCCTCTGCCTCCAAAACTCTGAGATTAAAGGCATGTACCAACACGTCAATATATATTTACAAGCTGCTGGTGTTTCGATGTTGATTTTGTATGTTGTTACTTTGCTGAAAATATCTGCTGTTTTCTGATAGTCTTTAGGGTCTTTTAAGGATTGTGTGGAGTGCAAATAAGAATTTGACTTTTTTCTATCTATATTCCTTTTGTTTATTTTCTTGGCTTGCAGCTCTAACTTTAATCCCAGCACTTGGGAGGCAGAGGCAGGCGGATCTCTGTGAGTTCAAGACTAGCCTGATCTACAAGAGCTAGTTCCAGGACAGCCTCCAAAGCCAACAAAGAAACCCTTTCTCAAAAAAAAAAAAAAACAAACAAACAAACACTGTATCTCTAAAGAGAAAGCAACCTGGTTATAGTATGTGAATGTCTTCATATCATCTTTGATTGTATCTGATAAGAATTTCATCAAAAATGTTTTCATCTGTTTATCAGACAAATTTTCTGTAAGTTTCTTTCTTCGTTATTCTCTTTCTGATCTTGGATCTGAGGGAACATGAGTCATGGTGCACTAGTCTGTCTTTACAGAACAGTTTGTGGAGCACTGGCTAGCTCTTTTTTCAATACTGGGCAGTAACTCCGACTAGACCTAGGCTTTTGTTGGGAGACTTTCCACCACTTCTTCAAGCTTACTGACTGTTAAGGAGCTGTTATGCTGTTTATCTACTTGACAAGCCATCAGAAATACCTGTCTGGAGATAAGAGTGGGGTCCCGAAATCATCCACCATTGTCCTATCAAGACCTACATGAATCTTTATGCCCATTAGTGTTTCTGAGATTGTGAGCCCCAACGTCTATTAACAAAAGCCGCTGTGGTCAGCCTAACAATGTGGCAAGCTCCGAATCTAGGCTGCAGAATTCCACATGGTGCCAGGGCAGGTTTGGAGGCCAATTACAGGTACCAACCTGGACACTGCAGCTTCAGGAACTTAACTAGTGCTGGCTTTCACTGTCTAGAGCTCTGTGTTAGTCTAAGTCAGGTAGTCATTCCTCCTCCTTGTCCCAAGCAGATGGTGTGTCTCTCCAAAC